GAAAGAGAGAAAAAGAGAGAGAGAAAGAGAAGCAAGGGGCCAAGGACAGTTCTCCAAACTATAGTTTTCGCAGCTGGGGCTCGAAAATCGCAACTTTTAAGTACGAAAGTAGTACGCGAAGTCAACTTTTGGGGATTGAACATCGCAACTTTTAAGTGCAGAGAAAGATGTGTAGATAGATAGATCAATAAACAGATATAGAGATAGCTAGAGAAATAGATAGAAAGAGATAGAGAAACAGAGATAGACAGAGATAGATAGATTTGTAGATAGATAGACAAATAACTAGCTAGATAGATAGAGGGAGATAGATAGATAGGAGATAGAGAGGTAGATAGATAGGTAGATCTATAGATAAATCGCAACTTTTAAGTACGAAAGTAGTACGCGAAGTCAACTTTCGCAGCTGGGGCTTGAAAATCGCAACTTTTAAGTACGAAAGTAGTGCGCAAAGTCCACTTTCGCAGCCGGGGCTTGAAAATCGCAACTTTTAAGTACGAAAGTAGTACGCAAAGTCCACTTTCGCAGCTGGGGCTCGAAAATCGCGACTTTTTAGTACGAAAGTAGTACGCGAAGTCCACTTTCGCAGCCGGGGCTCGAAAATCGCAACTTTTAAGTACGAAAGTAGTACGCGAAGTCAACTTTCGGGGATTGAACATCGCAACTTTTAAGTGCAGAGAAAGATGGGTAGATAGATAGATCAATAAACAGATGTAGAGATAGCTAGAGAGATAGATAGAAAGAGAGAGAAAGAGACAGAGAAACAGAAAGAGAAAGAGAAAGAGAAAGAGAGAAAGAGAGAAAGAGAGAAAAAGAGAGAGAGAAAGAGAAGCAAGGGGCCAAGGACAGTTCTCCAAACTATAGTTGTTCACTGCTTTGAAACTTCCGCCCCCCGGCTCTGCCGGACCTTACTTGTATTTTGATCGGACCCACCGGTGAATTGATCTGTGCAAATGATTCGATGTAGAAAAAATGTCACGGTGGCTGTTGCATTATCCAAGGCTTTGCTGGTTTGCCTCCCTGACACGCCTCTTTTTCCTCCTGGCCCGCACCTGTTTCATCCCACTCCTCTCGCTCAAACCTCCCTCTCTCCTCATCTCTTCTTCATCTTCATGGTAACACTGGATGGGTGTGATAGACCGCGAAAGGTGCTCAGGAACCGACTGGTCAAGATTACACGGTGAGTGAGTCCGTGGCATCAATTCTCGCCTCTCAACTTGTAACTTCAAAGTCCTCACAACGACGATTCATAAAGAAGAATACTGAATGGGATAGCATTACCAACAAATGATGAACAGGAATCTAGGTTTACGGCTCTCTTCACAACTCATGAGGGAGTCTATCTAATCTTTATTGTTCTCTCATGTCCTTCGTATTTTTTGAGATGAGTTTATAAAAGAAAGGAGACGAGAAAGATGAGGTGAGAGGCTCGGAGAATGCTGTGCGAAGTCAACGAAGGAGTCGCTGGCCGAGCTCACTCGTCTAAGGTGAGCAAGCCACGCTTCAGCAATGCCTGGCGCAGGTACACATGGTCCGTTCCCTTTTTGGGTGGCCATACCGCCATCTTATGCTCCTCTTCCTCTGGTGTCGGGCGGCCGTAGAAGAGGATTTGGTGTGGGTCCTGAGCCAAACTGGACCAAGGAGGTGACTTGCACGCTTGGGCTCAAGTTGTTGCATGAGCAAACGCCTGTAAGGCATTGCTTGTGGCGGCTAGTCGAGGTTGTCTGAATCCAAGTGGCCGATCATCCCCTTGAATCGTTTCAGGCCGGAACATGAGAGCGAACTAGCCCCCAAAGAGCCAAAGCCCAAAGCTACTCCAAGACCCCCATTCCAAGGCCGGCAAGGTGCAACCCGCAAGGAGAACTGCTCAAAGATGTACTTTGTCCAGTCGATGTCCGAGGCTGGGCGGAGGACTGAGGTGCCGTCGGGCGCGTGCCTGCCCGGCACGTCGTGGTCGCCCTCCCAGCGGCAGTCCATCACCACGTGGTCCTCTGCGCAGCCCGTCCACTCAGTGCAGCTCACCTCAAGGCGAGCTTTGGGACAAATAGGGAACAAAGCAATCGGGAAGGTGGAATGGCACCAAAGGAAGCGAACCTTTCACGAAACCCAACCTTGGGCCCCTCCAAAGCCCCCCAAAGCCCCCCAAAGCCCCCCAAAGCCCCCCAAAGCCCCCCAAAGCCCCCCCCCCAAAGCCCCCCAAAGCCCCCCAAAGCCCCCCAAAGCCCCAAAGCCCCCCATTGACGTTGGAAGGGAGAAACAAATAAGTTTTAGCAGTTAAGTGGGGATTCCCACCACTAAACCACAATAAGCAAAAGTGTAAAATGTCTCCCAACAACCATGCTTTTCTGCGCCCTTTCTGGCTGGCTCGCCGTGGCCGACTGACGGCGGTGCTGCTGGGCAGTGCAACGGCTCTGCTTTGCAAAGAGCACCCCCAGACGCGCGGAGCGCAACGTGCAGCTCGTGGCGTCCTTGTCAGGGAAGCTTCAAACCTCCACCCAAGACGACAAGTCAGCTTCCCTCCAATTGGCGGTTCGGATTTGTAGTTTGGGATTTGAACCCCTGGTTCTTGTAAAGGGTAAATGGGAAGCCTCCCCTTAGCCACCAAGCCACCAATCCAGACCACCAATTAAAGGGAAGCTGGACAAAATGATCTGAGGGAACCAGAACCAACAAAATACCAACATATTGCTGCCCCAGTCCGCCGTGCCGCAGTAGTTGATGTAAGATATCGGCCTGCAATGAACTGCACATTGCACATTGCGATGAAGAGGGCAAGCCAGAACCGCAAGCAGCCAACCAAGGCCGTACAGCAAACCGAAAAAACATGAGAAGCCGATGCCTCGCACCCTCGCAGGAGAATTCGGATGGAAAGTCGGGTGAGGCGTTGGGGGCCAAGAGCTGGAAGAGATGGCTCCTGTGGCATGCCAGCACCTGCGCAAAGTGGCCCCCATAGCTGAAGCCCCCGGCAAAGACCTGGCTTCTGCTCGATCACCGGAGTGTCCCATTTTGGGGATGCCGGGCTTGCCTGACAAATGGCCTTCTTCTTCATCGCGGGACCCCCCCCAAAAAACACAAAAAAAGAAAGGGATAGAAAGGGCTCCCCTTCAGGCCGCAGCTTGGGATTCGTCGAAGTGGCAATGTGCCAATTTGCTGACACTAGTTGCGATGGATCAAGTGCACAGCTTGGGAAGAAACCTGGGCCTTGGATGTGTCGATGCACGTCTCCCGGGCCATCCACTCGAAGATGGCATCCACAAACCGCAGGTTCAGATCGTTTTTCTCGGGTGGGAAACCACACGCACCCTCGTCCTGGTACATGACAAACCTGGACTCCAGGCAACCTGAGCTGCCCCAATGGCTGGGGTAAGGCACCTTTGGCCGGCGCTTTGGCACCAAGACACGAGGAGCCAAAAGAATCAAATTCCTGCCAACCATTTCAGAGCTTCAGTTCAGGTCATCCCCGCACAGCTGCGCGCAGCACTGGCGCTGCCCACCCATGCTGGTGGTCTCATTCTCCGGAATGCCCCAGGGGAGGATGCCGAACCAGCCGTAGCGCTCCAGCTGGTCCGGCAGGCCAAGCAGCCGCAGAGAGAAGAAGGGAGACTGGTACATGCCATGGAAGAACATCATGGCCGGGATCTTGGCCAGAGGTGCCTCAGGACAGAGCTAGGCCCCAGCCCCACCACACACAAGCAACAAGCTGGCCGAATGGGGCCTGACCAACGCCCGCCCTAGCCTGCAACGCCTGAAAAGGCATCACGCACTGCCGCAAGCAAGGTACTGGCCTGTGGCCTTGCAACCCATTCCCAGCGCCCTGTTTGGGACAGTTGCCCATCTAGAACTAGAGCCAAGGATCTCGGATCTAGGACTGCGACCAAACTAGGACAGAACCAAGTATCTGCACACGGGCATTACATGATGCTTGTGCCTTTTCATCTTCTGTCACATTGTGAATCCTCTCACAAGGTAGGTGCCTTCAGGAGGGGGATGCCATATGTCCCACTGCTGCTAGAACAAAGTGCATGTTGTGTAAAATGACCAGCATCGCCACTTTTGTCCGCTTGACCTGATGCTGAGCCAACACAAACGAGTGGTGATCAGAGCTTGTCCCCTTGTGGATGTCAGACTGTCAGGGTGCTGCTATCCAGTCTTTACATTGGCGCTTGAGTGACTCAAGAGTGGCTTTCGCATTTACACTGTCAGCCTTTCCAGCCAGGAGGCGTGGTCCCGCGGCACAATGAACAAGAACTGGCGCTGGATCTCCGGCAACTGCACAATGTGCTGCCCAGGCCCATAGCCCCCCGAGCAGTCTCCCACCCGATGCTTCTGCTGCAGCAGCGACATGCTGAGGTCTTCCAGGTCCACGTCCACGTGCTCCCCCCGACAACTGACAAGCGTTGCCAAGGCAGCAAGGGGAAAGAAGGCCATCGCGCAGAAGTAGGACCACGCGATACGGCGATGTAGGCGCGGTATCGTTTGCTAGGGATTGAGCCGAGCTAGCAAAGGCAGTTGTCCCGCCTTGGACCATGCAAAAACAAGTCTGCACCCCCAAACCGTTAAACTGCGCAGCCGCATCAGCCAACGATCTTCCGACGGGGGAGTGCAGTCAAGCCCCTGATACTCAGTCTGGTTTGCTTATGGGCAATTGAGAAACGGACCGGTACTAAACCAATACAAAACAGGTCAAACCCAGTTCTACACAACAAGCCGCACCAATATGGGGAAGGGGCTTGAAAAATCAGTTCCTCGGCACACATTACATAGCAAAAGCATGTCACAGAATAGCTGTTGCAATCATTCAGGGTACATGTTTCAATGGCCAACAGCTGGGCCCCGGGAATCTCTCCTTTTCTTCCTCAGACTTTCGTCTTGGCGCGCTTACAAGGTGAGCAAGCGCTTCAGTGCCAATGGTCGCGCGTGTCGACGGCGTCGGCCATGCGGCACGGCCCCGTGATCCATTTTGCTGGGGATGCCTCGGCGGTTTTGGGCGCGAAATCTGGGAGGCTATGGCCAAATAGAAGGGAGGTGCCAGAGGCATGGGTGGTTCCAGGCCAGCCACAAGCGGGTTCAGATCGTTTTTCCAACAAGAGCGCCCTGCTTCAGAAACATGGCCTCTTCAACCTGAGTTGCCGTAACGGCCGACTAACTTGGGCTAGGGCCAAGGCCACATCCAGCACCAAAGTTCTGAAAATATCAATCAAACAATCCGGAGAGTAGTGAGTTGCATGTTTCGTAATCGTCGTCATGACCAGCAGCAGAGAGGCTCGTCACTTTTGTCCGCACCTGATCCTGAGCCAACGTAAATGCGGTGATCCGAGCACGTCCCCCTGTGAATGTCAGACTGTCAGGGCGCAGTCTTTACAAAACAACCATTGCTGTCGCATTTGCCATTTCCGCCTTTCCAGCCAGGAGTGGTGTGGTCCCGCGGCACCGCGAACAAGGGCTGGCGCTGGATCTCTGCACAATGTGCCCAGGCCCGTGGCCCTGTCGCAACCGAAGGCTCTGCAGTCTGCAGAAGCGAAATGCTATTCCACGTCCACGTCCACATCTTCGCCCAAACTGATGAGCGATGAGGCGCTCGCCAGGCGCATGGCACCGTTGGCGAATGATTGAGCCTGTTGGACCGTCGCCCTCTCCACTTTCCTTTGGAGGGGCCAGAGAAAAGTGTCAAAGGAAAGCTTCGGAGGGGCCAGAGAAATAGTGTCAAAGTGGAAAGCTCCGACTTCGGCACCTCCGAAACACTCCGAGCGCCCCAACTCTTGGCCGCCAGGTGCACCGCGGTGTCGCCTCGGAGCCGGCAGAAACGGCACCCCGCTCGCCCCCGCCAGAGACGACCCGAGACCCCGCCTGTGTAGGCCTTGGCGTGCACGTCGGCGCCGTGGAACTTCAGCACGGAGGCCACCTGAAGCTTCGTCAGCCCTTTGCGGATAGTCGTCCCCCGTAAAAAATGAAAAACATAGAATTGTTCCAGTAGTGAAATCGATTTGCTTCAAAATAACAGGGGAAAACAACACATATATTCTTAATCAAATGGGAGTCAGAAAATGGACGAAAAAACGGGGCACTGGGGCACCTGCCTGGGCCCAGTTGTTGTGCGCCTGAGTCAGGTGAGGCGAGCAAAACAGCTCCGTGCCGTGCCAACTTGCAACCGCGCAATCGAGATCTCGCTGGGCTCTCTGCGGCCCAGTGCACGGCTGTCCAGCCGCAAGTGTCGCGAGTGTTGATCGAGGCGCGGGCCTCGGGAAGCTGAGTTGGATCTGCTTCCTGGTCGGCCACGTGTCCTTGCCTGTAGCAAGTAAAGCTAACATGGATCGTGCTGGATGTGTCATGCTCACCCCGAGGTTCAAGAGCTGCCGTCCCGTCGAAAACTCAAAAACCACACGCCTTGCAGCCTTACAGGATTGCAATTTACACTCCCCGGCTATCATGCATCATCGAGCACGACTATTCCAGCCAAAGCTTCACAACAGCAGCCGCACAGCACAACCATGTCGAGAGGCAACAACGCATGCCCTAAATTCAAGCCCGACATTTCCTGCGCAGCGCCCAGATTCAGATTGCCCTGGTAGATGATTGAACCAGCAGGCAAAACCAATGCTTGTGACGGTCATTCTTGAAGCCAAGCTGTAGGCGTAGTCCCCACCCCCTGACCCCCTGACCTCCGCACTCAACACCCCCCACCGGCCGGGAGCCTGCAGCAGCTCACGCACCGCATCCACGCTGCCGTGGCTGGCAGCCCACGACAGCGCCGTCTTCTGCGACTGGGCGGGGGCCGTGCGCGAGTGTCTCTGGACCTGGGGGTGCTGCTGGCGTCCTTGCAAACGAGAAAGTGCCCAGGATTTCGAGTTCAAAAGGCGAAAAGAAAAAAGAACACCGACAACAAAAAACACACCTGCAGGAATCCCCCCCCCCACTGAACTGAACTGCGCCTCATCTGGCAGGTCCGGCCACGCCCCAAGGCTGATGGCCTATCCAGGTTCAGCTGCGCCCGAATTCTCGGGTGAACTTCGCCTCCTTTCTCTACATGGGTGTGGCATTTGTTGGGGGCGGGGGGGTGCCCCTTTGTGTGGAACAAAGGGGATCCAAAGGAAAACCACGATTTCTTGTTGTCCCAAAAAGGAAAAACGCACACAAACATTTTCTGCTATCAGAATACGGCACGCATTGGAAATCCTTCCGCGGGTACCCTGGAAGCCAGTTGGACATTCACATCCGACACTTGGGCAAACCTCTTGACACCAATCCTGAACAACAGCAGCCGGGGGGGGGGGGGACGAAAACTGAAACCAGAGAACGGCAGTGAGCGCCTGCATCACACCCTCCCAGTCCCCCTCTTTCGCCGAGTGGGTGAGCAGGCGATTGGACTTCACCGCGTCTCTCAGCACCTGGCTCCCGATTTTCAAGCGGGCGAGAGGCTGAGGGACCATGGCCCCATGGACCAGCGGGAGTGTCCCGTGATGTTGTGGATGGGTTTCAAGCTCAACAATCGCTGTGATAATTACTGTGCACGGACGGAAAAGAACACTTGCCACTTAGGTAACTGATCCAAACTGGTGGGTTTCAGCAATCCTGGGTTCAAATCCGCAGGGCAACGTGAAACGCCCGCAGACTTGGAAAATGCGTCAAAATCATGACCCCAGATGCGAGGCACCGACACACCAATGACCTCACTTTCGGCTCGTCTTTGTTTTGCCCCTTGGGCCGTTGGATCTCAAATTCGAAAACATCCCCACGTGTTGAAATCATGTTCAATAGTGTAATGTTGGCCCAGCCTGCAGGGGGTGAGGTGGCGGGACAAGACACACGGAGCCAGCCAGCGTTTGTCACCCCACTGGGAAAGAAGGCATTTACACCTGGGCTTCCCAGTGTGCACCTAAGAAACAAGAAGGTTTTTGGAGTAGAGGGTCATAAGCTTGCAAAATCAGCTGCTCGTCCTCGTCGTCGGCAGTATAGGAAAAAAGGGCGATACCACGAACAACATCGAAAGGAGAAACAAGGGCACATGATGTTCGGCCAAAAGCATCATCAAACTACGCAAGTCTCAAACCAAAAAAGCTTGAAGCAAGTTCAGGTAATCCCTTCCCCCTAATTTTAAACCCCCCCCCCCCCACCCCCCCTAATACTAAGAGGGTCCGAATTTCCGGTTTTGGAATTCGGGGGCCCCCTGTTCGTTTTCGGAGAACCGTACTCCCGGAGCTCCGGCTCGAAAGTCGCAATCTTGTAGTACAACCGCAGTAGGGAAACGTACCCCCGGGTCCCCCAATAGGACTGGATTCCACCACGGGCGGGAACATACCTACTTTGGAATTGGTTTAGTGCTGGCTATTCTTCAAGTCGTATTCCCGGATTTGGGATTCTCAAAAGTCGGACCTTCAGCATTAGGGAGAAGGGATTAATGTTCACCGCAGACTACTTCACAAACCGCTGTCTCTCTTGCCTCCTGGATGGAGGTTCGAAACCTGGCGCGTGCAAAAACCGGAAACCCGATTGAACTGGTGAAAGGAATGGCCTCGTCTTGGGCAACAGGGCTGGAAGTGCTGGCATTCCAAGTGCGCTCTACAAACATGGTGCCCGCTTTCGAAGCATCTGGTTGAACTGTCGAACCAAGTCCGTGCGGGGCACACAAACCCGAAGCCCCAAACTTGCAGGGGGCCATTTGGACGCCAGGCGAATCCAAAAAATGCTCCCCTTCAGCAGTTGAACCAGGGACTCACTTGTGTGTCCTTTTTCAGGCGACCCCAAAAAATGGCCAGGGGGATCCTTTTGGAAAAACCCCCTAACACGAAAAGACAAGTCCCCAAAAAAGCCGCAAGACGAGCCACATCTACCTGGTGAGCACCACCCGTTTCCCGAACCGCTCAGGGCCGGGCTCATAGTTCCGCAGCCAGGGCGAGGCGGCGCGCGAGGCCTGTCTCGGAGGTGAGGGGAGGCTGAAACGGGGCCGGGACAAGAGTGCGAAAAAGGAGAGAAAAAAGAGGAAGGGAGGCAAGAGGGGGACAAAGAGAAGAGCTAGAACCAACAAAAGGGAGAGACAAGAAGGGCAAAACCGAAAGGATGAGGAAACGACTAGGTGGATAAGCGACAACGTTGGACCATGTCCAGCTGGTTTCTACACAAATCGCAACATGAAGACGAAGGGCCGCTAGAAAAGGGAAGGTCACCAAAAAAAACTCAAAGGAACATGGCATCAAACATAAGTAAGCGAATAAAACACACACACACACACACACACACACACACACACACACACACACACACACACACACACACACACACACACACACACACACACACACACACACACACACACACACACACACACACACACACACACACACACACACACACACACACACACACACACACACACACACACACACAAACACGCACACACAAAAGAACGTGGGGGAAAAGCAGACAGACAAAGAGAGAGCGAGAGAGAGACAGAGACAGAAACAGAGACAGAGATTCAGACAGAGACAGAGACAGAGATTCAGACAGAGACAGAGACGGAGACAGAGACAGAGACAGAGATTCAGACAGAGACAAAGACAGAGACAGAGACAGAGAGAGAGAGAGAGAGAGAGACAGAGAGAGAGAGAGAGAGAGAGAGAGAGAGAGAGAGAGATGAAGCAGCTTGACGAACCGCGAAAACTTACGTCGGAAGTTTCCGAAGAGCTCTTCACAAGCGGAGAGAGGCCTCCAAACTGAGGTCCGCCCCGTGCCGTGCCAAAAGCTTCACCTTGGGAAGGGGCGGGAGGGCGGGAAGGGGGAGGGGGGAAGCCGGGGGGTGGGAACCCTTGTAAGCAGAACATGGTAAGTGGAAAGGACCAGAAACTGCGGTTTCGCGGTGGCTTAAGCTTTTCCCACACCCATTTGGGGCCGATTTTTTGCAACCTCCTTTCTCTTGCTGGCGCGAGGGATGCAGGGAATGTGAATTGGAATGACCCTTGTAAACCATCCAACTGGTGGGTTCCTGGCCTCCCACATTCCCTCTGAGCACCGGCAAGTGATTTAAGGTATTGGCTTTTTAGGGTCCGAGTCTGCAAAATAGACCTGGGGGGTGCTTCCAGCAAGAGATGCAGGGAGGGTTCACTTGAGAACACGCAAGAAATGAGGCCCCTGCTTTTAAACACTTGCGCTTTCGCTGGATGGGGCTGAAACACCTCTGTTGACGGACAAAATCCTGCACCGCTTTCGCTGTGATTGACAACAAACCTCGCGCTCCCCACTCGACATTGGAAAAAGGCCCTTGCCTGCAAAAACACATTGGAATGACAAAAACCTAAATGCCAACAACATTGAAAGTGGTAAAGCAAGCAATATCAGCCTCCGCTTTGCTTGTGGAAACCTACCAGGTCCCTGATCCAACCAGCAGTCACGCTTCATGGTATGTCAGTGGGAAGGGTGAAAGTAGATGGCGCAGTTCTGCTGATAAGCGAAGCAAAGGGGGGGGATTGCGCCATCTACTTTCACCCAACTGTACCGGGGGCGTGAGGGAAATCATTTTTTCGCAAACAGATCCAGGGCTTAAGAACAAACAAAGCTCTGAACTTCTTTGAGTCTTTCATCTTGAATCATTGAATGCTAAAGCAAACACGTTGAAACTGTCAAAGCACGCAGGCGCGTGCTGGGAAATCCATTCGATGCGAGGCCCTTGCCATTGGGGCAACTAGGGGCAAAGCGGATGGGTGCCAGATGGCAAGCGCCCCGCCCCGGGCGCCAAGGCTTGCGACGGCAAGCCTTGAACGCCCAAAGTTGCCCGCTTGCCAGGCGACAAGTTGTGCCGTGTTCGTCCATGGGAAATGGATCATCAGTTTTTGAAGATCACCTCAATGGCTGGTTCTTGACGAATCAAATGTGGAAGAGGATCTCATGTGGTTTGCCTCACCCAACTCCGGCCTTTGGCCTTTTCCCCGCATGTCTGGTTCATTGTTTGTTGCCCTGCTTCCCCTACCGGGCCCCGATTCTCCGAAACCCGCTTCCCCGCTTCAAGGCTCCGGGCCATGGGCAAATGCCGCTGCGAGGCCGCCAGCAGCAGAGGGCTCGCGCCCTCCGAGTCCAGGGCATCCACAAAGGCGCCCGCCTCGCGACTCGCGACTCGCGAGTCGACTCGTCTCGACTCAAATCGACGTCGCCTGATCAAAAGTTCGGACGCACCGAGTCACCCCAACTGCGCCAGAGAACGGAGGTGGGTCAGGGGGGCAAGAATAGGTACCAACTAACATGGCGCCTGACGGAGCGGGGAAGTTCTGGAAGACCGTGTTCCTTTTACACGAACCCCCTGACATCGCCTGACAACCCCCAGCTGCTCCAGATAGGGGTGTGGTTGTCTAAAATCGGGCAACCCCAAAATTGCTTGCCCTGGTAAATGGAAACGACTAAAACCTGTGGTCGTCGATTTGGCTCGTCCCAAATTGACCCGAAATGAACATCTCAAAAAAATGTGGGGAGTAATGTCCACCTTCATTTTTGGTGTTCCAACTCTTCAAATTCATTTGCCCGTTCGGTGAAAGCGGGGGATGGAACGGTATGGAACCCTTGCCCAGCGCGTAGCCATGTGTACCAGACGATGCGCGGAGTGTATACTGATGTGCCCCATGTTCACCTGGTGTGGGTGGAAACCTGGAAATATCCATTGCACTGCACCCAAGAGAACGTCAGGATATAATTACATCCACAAACGTGGAACCTGACAGGGAGTCCTGGAACATCATTTTCCTTCAAAAAAGGCCCTGTGGTAGGTCCATGTTAGTGGACCAGATAAAATCCAAGGCACGTGCTTCTGTTTGTTTGGTCACGGCTACGGGGCACAGCCCCGCCTCCAACGCAAGAGAGGCTTCCGTCACATCCCCGGACTTGGCCGAGGTCAGCAGCCGCCGGTTCAACTCCTCGCGACTCAGAATCAAGACCTGGAACAGCCACCCACCCCAAAACCAGGTGAAGAGTGCAGATCTGGGCGGAGATCCGCAGCTACTGGCTTGGACCGCTTGGACTGTGGCTCGCGTTGCACGCAAGGGGAGCTCTCCGCGCGCCGGGCTCCCATTGAAACATTCGACGCCCGGAACCTGGAGCAAGCCCAAGGCTGGGCTTTGGCCTTGGCTGGCGGCTCCCTATCCCCCCTCCTCGAACTGCTGCAGCATCTTGCGAGCTGCGCGGTGTTGCTTGGCGTGATACATCACGGTGTGGCCTTGGATTTCCGGAAAAAAAAGGAAGAAAAAAAGCATCGCCACATCGCCTTCCGTTTGCTTAAGCCCCCGGAAAAAAATATGTCCAGTAGTGATAGATTCCCTTTAAAACCAACAAGGGAAAATAAAAAACATATCCTTAACCAAATGGAAGTCGCCCTATGTGAGCGTGGGCCAGCGAGGGGGGGGAGATGTCTTGGGCTCCGGCCGTCTAGGTCTTGAAAGTTGAGGTCGGGCCTGCGCGGTTTGATGGCTTGTGACGCCAGGCGGATCCCATTCCCTAGAAAAGAAAACAAAGAATAACATATGCATACATCTACTATGTATATATATATATACACACCTGCGGTTGTATTGCCTGCATGCGCATACTTATGCGCATGCAGACCAAGAAGGTTGCGACTACGGCCACAATCCCGAGGGCCCTGCCCTGTGGCCAAAATGGACTTCATGATGTCCACGTGCCCGTGACCTACAAACTCGGGAAGGATCAAGTGCCCGCAGAAGGGGAGTGACACTGGTTGCGCGAAGGCAGGGGTGAGGCGTGAACCCTCAAGGGATTCAAGCTTGACATATCCGTGCCAAAAAAGAGTTCCGTCTGCAAAAGATAAACTTGGCCAGGTTCTGAAAAAACTGCGGACCTCCTTTTGGTTGGTGTGTTAAATGAAAGGGGCGCCAAGCGGAAACCCACCGATTTCGGGCGCAAGTCTTTTGAGAAACGCCCCACGTGGACGCCTTGACCACCGGACTTGCGACTTGGGCGCCCTGCGGGTGGCCCACATCAGCGCTGTCATGCCCTGATTGTCCACAGACGTCGCCTGGCGACATGGCCAACTTGGGCTCTCCCAAGTTGACCTCAGATTAATCCACCTGTTTATTCCTGTGGGGGTGTCCGATTCTGGGTTTAGTAGGGAATCAGATCACTTTGGGAAATATGGGGGGTGTTTTCCACTCTAAAAGTGATCTGACTCCCTACATTTCACCCAGAATCGGACACCCCCATATTGACAAACTGGGGTTGATTCATATGGGGTCAACATCAGGCAGAGAATGAGAATTGGAATGACCTCAAGAAAAACCATTTAACTGGTGGTTTCCATTTCCTGATTCCTGAGCACCAGCAAGCTCACCGTGCCTTTGGTTTTGGCGATCGCGAGTTCATCCAAACTACCCAGACACTCGGAAACTCCGAAAGCCAAAGCCTCTGAACGGATCTGACCCGGAAAAAGAAAAAGAAAAAACGTCAGACCGCGAGGGCCCAAGGCGTCCCTTTTCGCGCCTGGGCCTTTTCCAGCAGTGCATCCACCACGGCCCCGCGGCCGTTCATGGCGGCCCTGGCCGACTCGGGAATTCCAACGCGTTTCTGCTTTCAAATGCCCGTCCCTTCAAAACAAAAGACTGCGGCGATCTGAAGCGGACACAGCCAAAAGCCAACAGGTCCCTCAAATCCCATGGCACCGGCTGGCCCTCGACACGCGGTGGCACACTGCAGGTGGCCAAAACCCCCACATCTCTTTTAGAAAATCATCGCCTGGGCGAGCACGCTCCAAAAAGCAGCCCTCCGAAACCAAAAGCGCGTAGAGGGCTGGGCAGGTTTCTTGTTGAACCTTTGGTGCGAAGAATTGCTTCCCGGACAACAAATCACAGAAATTGGGAGTCAGCCCAAGCTGCGTTTCAATTGGTCTGCCCCAGGGGACACAGATCTCTGCCAGGCAGCAACTGTCATAGATGCCCAGGAATATCGGCGACAAGCGGCAAGCAACGATGACTTTCACGATGACACACACACACACATTACATGATGAGAAGCCAGATTTGGGAAGCAAGGAGCTGGGCTTTTACACAGCCCGTGCACATTGAGTCATTGAAACGCTGACGGAGTGTCTAACGGAGTGCTGAGCACCAGCGGCACAACTATATCAACGAGGGACTGGCCTTTGGCATTACCCCTGAGCACACCGGCTCGTCCCCAACTCATGCGGTTGATACGCAGCAGCGCGAGGTTCTCATACGACTTCTCCGGATCTCAGCGATGGGCGAGGCAGGCTTCCGTTGTAGGTCACAAGAAACGTGCCGGGAAGGCCAGATCAATGGCGTCCACCCCTCCTTGTTTTGGGCGCCCTGCCGACATGTCCTTTGGCTCACCCGCTCTTGCAGATGCCGCAGTGCTCTGCATGCGGTTCGGTTTCTCTGATCGACGCGGGGGGCGCACCACGGCAGCTCCGTGCATCATCAGCTTCTGCACGACGCTGGCATGGCCTGCAAAAACGGCTTCCCACTTCAACTTGCCCACCACATCCGAAACATGAATGTTTGCACTGCCAAAATCTGGCGACCCGCAAAACGGCCTCGGTTTCCCGGTGGCTTCCCTTTAAATATACCCCCCAAAAAAATTACCCCCTCAAAAAAAACTAAAGGGACACCCTCAACGGCGCCTCGGCTTCCCTTTAAAAAACCCAGGGGATACCCTCAACGTGCCAGCGACCAGCGGCCAAAAACCGCCTCCGCGGGCCGCCAAGTGCAGCGCGGTGTTGCCCAGGTTGCACTTCGCCGCCGCGTCCGCCTCGTGTGTGTTTTTTTGTTTTTCATTTTTCTCCAAGCTCTTGGCGAAGGAAATCTGTGGGAAGACCGCCCAGATGCATGAATGTGATTGATTCCCCCGGGTCATTTTTCAGATCCCAGCAAAATGGCAACCAAACATGGTCCATTTGATGTCCAACGGCCTACCCTGGATTTACCTGAGTGTCTGGCGCGACTCTCCTTGGCGCGCCATGGGGCGCCAAATGCGCCAAACTATGCCAAGGAAAACTGAGGCTTGGGAAAACCGAGGAAACGCACAGGGAAACGCCGAGCAGACTCCCAGAGATCGGATCCGAGTCAAAACCCATACGAAGGAGCAGGTGCCCCTCTTTATTTCATTCAATGGGCACGACTGCGCATTCTCATACCACTTCGTGCCTCATTCCGCGACTCAAGGGTTTACGTTCTGCCGTCCGCATAAACATGCAGTGTGGATGATAGATCTTTGGATCGACTGCCGCTTCACTCGTCCTGACTGTTTACAGCGAATCCTGCAGTAAGATTCCCGGATTTTGCTGGGATGGCAGTTGCCCAATTTCACCAAACACCCAGCCAGAACGAGGAACCGCCTTCGCCCCTCCTCGGCCCGTCTGAGGTATGGGCCAGCAGCAGGTGCACGACCTGGTCGTGGCCCACGCTGCAGGCCAGGGAGAGCGAGGTGTACCCAAAGACCTCCTGGCGGAACATGTCCCACGCGACTTGGTCTGAAGGTCTGGAGCAAAGGTCAGGGCCAAAGGGGTTGAAGGGGGTGAAGGGGGTGAAGGGAGGCGGGCCGGTGGAGAGGAGGAAAGTGCCCACATGTGTGCGACAAGTCTTCAATCCCGGTCTGGCCCCGCCCCTGCGTGGCGTTCAAGCCCCCACACCCGGTTCACAGCTCGCACCTCTTTCTCGTTCAGCTGCCTCTTGTCAAGACACCTCAGCCATCTATACATGGCCTCGCTCTCTTGACAGAAAACAAGGACAATCCCACAAAACGCATGGTGTCCGAGAGCGATGGATGAATGGGGATCAACCCTTGGAAGCAACTCAACTCTAGCAAATCTTGCGAGTCCAAACAAGAACCTGGGCGGACCGCTGCAGCGACTTCTTCAGGAACTCCATGTCGAATCTCGCCTTGGCGAGATCTCGCCCCAAAGCTCCGATCGGTCAAATTTCAACCTGGGTGCGTGCCTTCTTGCCGTCCATCGTGGCCACTTTGGCCTTAGGCGGCAAAATCAGACTTGCAGTTTCTTGTGGGTCGCCTCCAGTCGCTCCGCTTTCTGGCTATAAATGAGGTCCATCAACCCTAACTGGCGGGCCATCGCCGCGAACTCGCAAACTGGGTGCTGCACGCATAAAATTAAATGATGGTATGCTGAGACTTCGGCATGAATGTAGTGGATCAGTGAGAAGCCTGGGTTCTGAGGACTGCAACTCAGACAAGAAGCCACACCATGCCACACCCAGCAACGGGTCAGCTGAGTTGCCTGGGGCTTCAAACTGCCAGAAACTGCCTGAAGTTGGTGCCTCATTCTCTGCTGCGTTTGAACCTAAAAACAAACTCTTGGCCCCCAACTTGGCTGGTGTTCGGTTCATCTATTTCACCACAAAACCACGGATCGCAAGCCAGCCAATGGCTGAGGTTTCCAGAGGTGCCGCAAAAGGGTCACGGCTGTTCCCGCAACAGAGCACCGGGCCATCCGGGAGCTCATGCCGTGCGGAGTTCTGGCTCCTGCCCAGGAAACAAGTCCGGCTGTTCCACCGCAAGCAACTCGCACAGCAGCCGCGGCGCCTCTGCGAGCCCGTCTCCTCTACATGCTCCAAATTGGCCTGAGCTACAGATCCCTCGCAGAAGTGCGAAACTTCTAAAAGTTGTCCCCTCTTTCTATGACAAAGGATAGCTGCTAGCTTCCTAGAAGCCGCAGTTCTACTTGCATCCAAGATAGCTAACATCCACCAGGGGTTGCTCAAAGGCCTCAAAAGCGCACACATCGCATGTCGGTCCAAGCCAGTGGCAGTGAGGAGCTTGCCTGGGCACCCGTCCCGGAGAAACCACCCCAACCCGCTGGTCGCATTTGGACCAATGCGTATGGCCCTCTGGTTTGTGCCCAGGCCCCGGTTCCGTGCCCAAAAAGTGTCAAACTGGCCAAAAAGACATTTGCCAAGGCTGGCCTGCTCCAAATGGAGTGTTGCCAATCCCAATCCCAATCCATCATCCCTCTTGGGGGAAGCCACTACAAAGGCTTTTTCCGGAGGCGGAGGCCAATAGGCCACAAGGGCCCGGAACCACTAGCAAGGCTGCTTTTGTTTTTTTTGGGGTGAGGCGGGCCACAAGGGCCTGTTGCCAACTCCGGCGTTATCGAAAACATGCGCCGCTGGGGAAGCCACTACTAAGGCTTTGGGGAACCAGGCGGAGCAAGAGGGCAATAGGCCCGTTGCGCTCCGGCGAAAACCCGCGCATCCTGAAACCGAAGCCGCCGATCCCCAGAACAGAGCCCCAGAGCCCCAGAGCCCCAGAGCCCCAGAGCCCTGGAGCCCGGGCCTCGGCCGCGCTTGATGGGCGGCAGGCGGTCTTTGGTGGCCGTCCGCTGGAGCGCCTCCCGATTTCAGCGCCGGAAGTTTCGCCCGGTGAGAATACGAGTTCCCGTCGCTTGAGGGAGGGAAAAAAAGGGAGGAAAAAAGAACGAGAAAAACATGCATGCCACTTTTTAAGCATCGGAAGGAGTAAGTACGAATTGGTTTATAACTGGGCGTGGCCGCTTTCATGCATCCAAAAGCCTGTCCTGTCCTCGCACAATGAAGCTACCTGTGGAGTCAAAATGGAAAAATGGCGCGCATGCCCTTCGCGTTGGCCGGATTTCCGGGTAGCTGCCGGAGGGCCGGGAGATCGGGTGAGCATGCTGTTTGGTTTTTGCTCAAGGGCGGATTTAAGGCTTTCCCTTTCAAAGTATCTTCGTTGTTTGCTTCTTGCACCTGGGTTGAATCCCAAAGCTGGGTCTGCCTGGGTCGCATGGACCACCAAAAGGCACAGAGAGTTTCACAAACACTTCCATTTGTTTAAGAATACTTGTTATTTTCCCCTGTTGGTTTTAAAAGGAATCTACCACTACTGGAAATCTTATTGTGTTTTTTTTTCCCTAGGGAGCTTAAGCAAATGGAAGAACAAAGTCGGATACGACGTGAACCACCCATCAAGCAGGGGGCCAACTGCTACATATTCAAGCCATTGCCTTATCTCGGCTCGACGCAACCCAAGAAGAAAAAAAAGAAGAAGAAGAAGAAAAACAAAAAAAAGAAGGAAACAAAACGGGAAAAATGCCTCCTGCCCCGCTCCCCCCTGTCCTGTGTGGAACTCATGGCGCTGCCATTGCCCCCCCACCCCCCCAGCCCGCAGGGGTGGAACCCTTTCGGGCCAAGTCACGAGTTGCGGCCGGCATCGGCATTCGAGGGCGAATCGCCCGAAGTCGCGCGTGACAACTTTTCCAGGTGGAAGACGTGTCATGTTAACCCCGGATCTAAGCAGAACCCCTGGTTGATTTTCATCGGGGGGGTCCCCTTTTAGTGGTTGGATTCATCACCTTTTGAGGGAACACCCCCCTAATGATGGGACGGGTTTATTAATCCTGGATCAACATTAAGAGGTGGAAGACATGCAAAAAGGATTGAGACCCAAAACTTGGTTGCTGATGACCCCTCTGCAAAAAGTGTACCATTTTGTGGGTTTAGTGGAAAACCCTTGATATCCCAAAAAGTTAAAGTCTAAAGATCCAACCAGCAGTCAAGTATGAGCCCAAGATACGGTTATCAGAGGACCGCCCGAAGCATTTTCAGCGGTCGCAAAGCACAGTCTGCCGAGTGTGCCCGTCCAGCGTCAGCACCTTGCAGCACTCGCTAGCGTTTGACCGACTTCGGGGGAACTCCGCTCGCACATGGCATCTGCACCCGTCTTTCCTTCGCTGGCGGCTCGTGTGACTCGCATTGCCTCGCGACCCTGACAGAGGCTGACAGCTTAGCATCTTCGCTCTGGTCAGATCTGCATTGGCGCCGCAACCAGGCTCTGTGCAATTCGACTCGCTTATGCTCCAACGGCAGACGCGCCGTGCACGACCATGAGCAACACCTGACACACCTATGCTGTTTCAATGGACCTTCTTTCTCCTTTGGGCCTATCTTCCGAACGCGCCAAATGAAATCAGGGCCCCAGAAGGACTCAACCGTAACAGGAATCGCTCCCCGCCTGACCCATCGGCTTTTGTCCGGAGCAAGGCGGGTTTAAGACTCTCGGGTTGGCTCATCTGGCCTTCAGCCAGGGCCACATATCTTTGGACGCGAAATTGGCAAAGGCACCTGACCGCTGCCTGCCAACCGCTCCACAAAGCTTGCGTTTCGTAAGTGGCTGTGGGTCAAAAGCCTGTACCAATGGTGAACATCAAAATAGGTGGCAAATGACAAAAATGGAGCCATAGGTTCTGCCCCATGGCCATGTGTGTTTGTTTGCTGGACACTCGGTGGTCACCCCCAAGAACCAGGGCACTTGCATCAACCCATCAATCCACAAAACTGCACTGGTGGCAGGCAAGTACTACGGTCAGGGCCCCTGCCAAAAAAAAAGAGAACAAGCCGCGCACGCCCCTCTGGACACTGCCCTCATTTTCGGCAGTGCCAGATCTTCAGCGCCGCTACGACAAGAAGTCCCTTCTCTTGTCACCATCCTCAAACATTGGCAACCTCCTGAACGATGTCCACCAACTGGCCCCATGATGGTATTGAAGCCAAATTGTAACTAGAATCAACCCCACCACCCCACTTGACGAATTACCCCAAAACAAAATCCCCGTTCTGTGTCTCATGTCACGCGCTCAGGCTTGCACCTAAAGGCTTGGTTGCTTGGGTGAGCCAATTCTTCACCCACGCCCAGAAAATTGTCTTTTGGTCGCCTCCTTTGGAGGCTTAATGGGCCAACCCCAGACCAAACCCACAATCAAAACCCCGGCATTTAAACTTTTTGACCCAAAACCATGCAAAGCATTGAGAAGGCGGCCGGGTCTTGATTGTGGCTCATTGGGCTAAGGCTTTACGCAGCGACCTCTTGAAGCGGAAACGGTGCAGCTTTCTTAAAGCGCCGGCTTCGGTCGCTCGGTTCCTCTGGCTATCTGGCAGGCCAAAGGGAGGACCAAGAGCCCCTGCCAAACCTTTCCTCCCCGCTCCAGAAAACAAACTGCGGCCGCCCGTCAGCACAGAGGAGAATCCGCAAGCCCTTTCAACGCACTGGCCGCAGAGGCAGGCGACGGCAGTCAGAAGTTGCAGGCCCGTCCTTCCTCGGCCGGAACCCTGTGTAATTGGAGATGCGCACTCCGCGGCATCGCCAAACATGCGGATCTACGTCTGCCTCCCCATTTCCATTTCGGAGCTCAAGTCGGACCTGCTTTTATAATTGGAGGCGGTTTTATCTAGTTTTTTCCCAATTGAGAATCCAGTAACGGTTTCGAAGTTTGCTCTAATAGAAAGTTGTTTGCCGGAAACAAATTTATGGCAACAAGAATCTGAGCAAATAAATCCGGGCAAACAGTGGTCCCCAAGCCATCAATTTTAAGAAAACGTCGTTACCAAAAAAACAAGTAAGGCCAAACAGTCGCGCGCAAAGTAGGTTGCCGCGCAATTCCCAGATCAAAACCTTTGCCGTTGCCTTTTGCTTTTAAAGAGGCCCCGCTGGACTGGTGACGCTGTTGAGGGGGTGATGTGGTTTTGTATTGCGCTAATCCCGCTCAGCAATGTAGGAAGCCATGCGCAAGTTACTTTGCAATGCATGTGGATTGCTCGGCATGATCAATCTCTGTCGCGCGTCCCGAAATGGCTGTCGTTACCTCCCCCTAAAATTCCTTATTTGCGTCATGCTGCGTTCATGACATGATGCACATTAGCTTGTGCACCCGTTCGCCAGCATTCTTTTGCGCATATTGTGTGCCAATGCAATGTCAAGAGTAAACCCCTTGGCAACCCCTTCCCCACTGGCCGATGCCTCTACTTCCTTCTCTTGCTTCTGAATTGCAAGCTTGGAAGCTGCAATAGGTCAGAAGTGTTCACCTTTGCGCTAGTCATCACTCCTGCGAAGCAGGCCATGCTTGAACGATGAAGTTTGGACCAACTGAGTGATGCAATTTCGTTCAACGCGGTCTGCTGCAAGCCTTGCATGGGAACAACACGCAAGCCCACGGCAGCACACAGATGCGCACGGACCGACGGTAGCGCCGTGATACCGTCCTCGTCGTCTTTTTTGGCTCCACGCCATCAAACCCATCATGCTGATGCACCTTCGCCTGCTTGAACATCGCACCTCGGACGCGCGGGCATTTGCAAAGCCGATGTCTATATGGCTGTGGGTCAAAAATAAGTACCCAAAATGGAACCCTGGTGAATAGAAACATGAACTAAAATCTGCGGTCCCCTGGTGACTTAAAATTGAGCCACACCCATTTGGCAAAGCAGGACCTTACTGGAACAAGTCTGGGAGCTAGCTAAGTGACACACTGGCCAACCTGGGTTAGAAGAGCCAAGAGCGAAGGGGTTCCACCAAGGTCTATTCGGACCTTCCCTTTGGTTAAGTCCAGTGATGAGTTCCTTTCGAAACCAACCAGGGAGAAACCGACAAAAACAACCTAAGCAAATGAAGGGGACTGCCGACCAAGTCGCAGCACCGGTCCCACCTGTTGGGCGTCTCTTTGGGCTGTTGAGTGATGGTCGTGGACCGCTCCAGGGAGAATGCGTCCGACCAGGTCCCGCGCTGCCGCATCGCGGCCTGGGGCAAAAACAGCAGCACCCCGACCGGGAAAAACAAATCGCCAGGGGCTGAGCAGCACACAGAACCAAAAATGAACAGAGCCAAGAAACACAACACCCAAAAGACTTGCCAAGAAGAGTGAAGAGTTTTCAGGCTCCTGTTGGCTCTTTTCGGTCCGCTTCTCGGACTGGTCCCAAACTATTTCTCTGGATTCAGGGCCTTAGAAAGCTGAGCAAGACCTAGAATGTCATTTGAGAACTCTTGCATCTGTCATGCTTTCGGACCTAGGGACCTGCGCTTCCCCAACACCCAGTGCCCACCCCGCATGCAATGCGCTCTTCCCAAGTGCCGGCTGCCAAATCGCCACACGAGTTTTTCGGGGGACAGGGAAAGCAGCCCCACCTGCCCCAACAACAACCCGCCAAGGGCCCGGCGATGAAGGCTGCGGCCTTGGGTCAGAGTGCTTCCCAAACCCTGGGATAAATCCAGCGGGTGACCAAGATCCCCTGATCCCCGCCCCCCATTTTCTGGGAAGGATCACTGAATGGAAAGAAGAGGGCCAAAGGAAAGCTTTGGATATCTGCGCGGCTTTTGCTTGGTTGACTTCTGTTCAAAGACCTCACCGGACCACCCGGGGCCCGGGTGGTAACATGAGCATGGCAAAAACGGGCTCTTGGTGGCGAAATCCCAAGAAATACAGTCGCTCTATTTGCAGCACGCGAAGGGTTAAAAGAAAAATAGGCTTCTTGAGCCAAGCCACGACCCAAAGAAGAAAAGAGCAAACACATTCCACCCCCCCTCCTCAAACAAAAAGAAGCCGGGGGGGGATCTTCCTTGTTTCAGCGCATGCCCCTACCCAAAACAAGAGCGCATTCACTTCTTGTCGGCTGCTTTTCTCAGCGTCCCTTTGATTGGTTCTTTGGATTGGGGGCTTGGAGGTGTTCCGGGGGTGGCTTCCCGTTTGCCCCCTACAAGAACCAGGGAAGTTCGGCCAAGTCAGAAAGTGGTTAGCCACTTGGTTTATATAACCCCCAAGCAACAGAGAACTTAAGTGGGTTATAACCTTGGTTGCCAACAACTTGCCGCCTTAGCCAAACACCTAAGTAATTACCCAACTAAACATCCATCTGTTACTGGGTAGTCTGATGAAGTCTGAACTCTAAATTGCTTGATTGGACCAATTAAGCGCAACCTGATTCTAAGTTTAAACCACCCGAGAACAGGGTACCAACTCCAACAACCGAAATATCAACCACCCCCACTCTTTTTGTTTACCCCTTTGCTGCTGCGATAGGTAGGGAATGAGGGAATGAACCTGGGGACTCCCTTAAAGGAAGCCACCAGTTGGATGGTTTATAGTGCCCATTCCCTGCATCTCTCGCACCAGCAAGACAAAGGAGGTTGCAAACAATTGACCCCATGTATCCCCCATCCCCCCCTCCCATTTTTTTTTCAAACGGAACAAGGGGCGCACATGTTGTGGCACAATCCCTCCCACGATCATGGCACCCGACAGAGGGTCCCTCAAAAGGAAAAACTGATCTTCCGGGTAACCCCAACTCCCCCCAAAGGTCCTTCAGTAGACAGGCTAGAATAAGGGTACCAACTTCTTTCTGTAGTCTATTTCCCCCCCCCCAAAAAAAAAAAAAACGCTTCAAGAGGGCACTACTGGCTGGGGGGCCTAGCCCCCGACTTAAAACAGTCAGCGCGGTCGAGGGGCGTACTTGGAGGCGGCGCGCTGGGTCTGGTAGCATTGGCTCATCGCGTCCCCAAACGCCTCGGCGTCCAAAGCCGCCAGTCGCGACACATCCTCCGCGATGAGGTCGCCCAGGTAGACCCAGGGGGTCCACAGGCACGCCTCCGACACCCAGCCGGAGTCGTTCACCTGAACCAAACAAAGGGAGATATAAAGAAAAAGGGGGGAACATGGGGATTGAAATAGGAAAATGGGGGCTTGGAGAAGTGTGGTTTGACTGGGAAAAGGAGAAATTGGGTGACATTGGGTGTTGGGTCTTGCGGCCTGTTCATGGACACCAGGTGCTGGTTTGGGAGAAGGTCCCCTGAAAACTGACTTCGAAAACTGAAAATGTTCAATGCCAGCCCCCCCCCCAAAAAAAAAAATGGCGGGTGGTGCGAGTCGATCGCCCCAGAAAACATTGGGGCGGGTCGCCCACCTGCGCAAACCAGCGGACGAGCGGACGAGCATGTGCGCACCCGGTGCTGGAGGGCTTCGATAAATCATGGGCGAGTTGGGTCGCTCCTTTATAAGGGACCCACCCAAAAATGGGGTTCCTTTTGGTTTCTTTGTGAAGCCACCCACCACCAAAAAAAATGGGACGTGACAACGAGGCCGCACCCATTTGGCACCCACGGCCTGCATGTCCCCATCCTCCGAGGAATAGGTCAGCATGCCGTTGAGCTTCAGGTAGGCGGCATTGGCCTGCCAGGGCCCATGGGACCATGGCGTTGCCCTAGGGTTACCCCTTCCTGCCTGGTGCGATGGGAAATATGGGAATGAACCCTGGCTTTGGTCCCCTAAAGGACACCACCAGTTGGATGGTTTGTCTTGGGTTCATTCCGATTCTCATTCCCTGCCGATCGCACCAGCAATTCTTGCTGGTGCGAAAGGTCGGGAATGACCTTCTCCGGGTTTTGGGAATGAACCAGAAAGGGATTCCCGAAAATTGAGGGGTCATTCCGAAACTCCCTGCTGAGAAAGCGGTTGAGGGCTGAAAAACTCTGGCAAAGCTTGATCTGCTTGTGCAAGTCTGAACCTGTAGTTTGCACTTGCTTTGCTTCTGTTGAGCTCTCTTTAGAGCTTTAGAACCTGATAATCAAAGAATTCCATCAACATGTGTGTTGTTCAATTAGAACTTGCATAAGATTGATTCTATGTCAAATAACATGTACACAGTACGCCCTTTGCAATAGAATGGTGTTTTGCAAATCACTTAGCATTGAAACACAATTTATTCAAAAAGGGTAGAACTCGTGAGTTTTTCAAACTGGAACTTTTAAGCAAGAAATCCTTTCAATAAAACAGGCCTGCCCAAAACCAGAAGCAAAACAAAAACCTTGAGAAAACCACAAACAAACAAAAAACAACTAAAGAACATTCTCCACAAACTCTTGGCACAGTGAGCGGCTTCTTCTTGAACAGTGTCTGAGGAAGGTGTGTTTTGTGCTGCTGCCTTTGATCCAGGGAAAGACTGTTTGAGGATGTGCGATTTTATGTTTGTGTGTTTTGTTGCTTGTTTCTGCGGCTTGTTTGCTTCTGTTCAAACTCGAAAATGGAAAAGACACAAACTTACCCGCATCCTTCAAAAAACAACAGAAAAACACACACAAACACACACACACACACACACACACACACACACACACACACACACACACACACACACACACACACACACACACACACACACACAGACAGACAGACAGACAGACAGACAGACAGACAGACAGACAGACAGACAGACAGACAGACAGACAGACAGACAGACAGACAGACAGACAGGACAGACAGACAGACAGACAGACAGACAGACAGACAGACAGACAGACAGACAGACAGACAGACAGACAGACAGACAGACAGACAGACAGACAGACAGACAGACAGACAGACAGACAGACAGACAGACAGACAGACAGACAGACAGACAGACAGACAGACAGACAGACAGACAGACAGACAGACAGACAGACAGACAGACAGACAGACAGACAGACAGACAGACAGACAGACAGACAGACAGACAGACAGACAGACAGACAGACAGACAGACAGACAGACAGACAGACAGACAGACAGACAGACAGACAGACAGACAGACAGACAGACAGACAGACAGACAGACAGACAGACAGACAGACAGACAGACAGACAGACAGACAGACAGACAGACAGACAGACAGACAGACAGACAGACAGACAGACAGACAGACAGACAGACAGACAGACAGACAGACAGACAGACAGACAGACAGACAGACAGACAGACAGACAGACAGACAGACAGACAGACAGACAGACAGACAGACAGACAGACAGACAGACAGACAGACAGACAGACAGACACCCACCCACCCACCCACCCACCCACCCACCCACCCACCCACCCACCCACCCACCCACCCACCCACCCACCCACGCACCCACGCACGCACGCACGCACGCACGCACGCATGCACGCACGCACGCACCCACACACACACACACACATTACACAGGTCCCAGAAAAAAAGCGAACAAATGCACTGCCACAGTCCCCTGTTCTGCGCTGTTTCGGGTCAGTGGCTTGGGTAGTCAGCTGCCGCAATCTGAACCCGGTGCAAGGTTGAGGACCTTACGGGAGTAGAATTTGGCAACCCACATCAAAAATTGATCATATCTGCCGGTGGCTTTCATCAAAAATAGCCACTTTTGGAGGTTCCAAACACGGAAATGAAGGAAACCCTGCTAGTAACGAGTTCAACCCGGGAGTGTGCGTGACATGGAGGCCAAGTAGAACCCGACCGTTCAGGGCAGTGCAATCGAGAGCAAATGTCGGGCGCTAGTGATGCGGTCACGCCTATCACTTGCTGACCGGCAGTGACAACCCAAAAATGAGGCATCCCGCTACAATATGCTGCTCGATCCCAGGGACAACCACACCCTACAAGTAGAGGAGTTTGGCCTAGACTAAGCTGACACGCTGGATGTCCGCCCAGAAACGTTGTTGAACAATGCTCCAAATCCGCAGCGTGGTTGTGGAAAATGCACCTGCCAATACAGCCATCCAACCGCTACGCAATCCTAAAACCGAAAACTCCCCGTAATTCTCAGGTTCTTGATCCACTCCCCACCCACCACCCCGCCCAAACCCCACCACCCACCCCACCCAAACCCCACCACCCAACCCCCGAACCCCAAAAAACCCAAAACACCAAAAACCCAAAAACAAAAAAAACAAGACCAAACCGAAAACACTTCGCCTGGTTCCCGGCCAGGAAGACCAGGTCCTTGCACGCCGCCGTGCAGTGCCCCACCGCCAGCACGGCCACGCGCCACAAAGTGTGCACCACCTGCCGGTCCCCCGACTCCAGCAGCTCCTCGCGGATAGATACGCCGCGACGCACGGATCTCGCGACTCGCTGACTCGCTGGTTGCGGGGGTGAACCCAGCCTGGCGCGGGTTGGGGCGTGCCTTGGATTGCACCTTGGGAGTGCCTTGGCTTGGTCCTTGGACGTGCCTCAACCGAGAGGAAACAAGGGCGAACCGGGCTCGGGGGGGGCTCCCTCCCCCAAAATACAGAAAGGGGATTTGAAGGAACTGAAAATCCTTTCTGTATTTTTTCTATCAACCAATGAAAAACACATTGAAAAACCAAGTATCAAATAATAGATAAGGTTAATAAATCACAACCTGATTCATTCTAAGTAATTCCTAGAAAAGATACACACCTTATCCATTATTTTTCCACTACTTAACCTATTTCATTTTACTATTTGTTTACCCTTATTCATTTTATATTTTAAGTCTTTTTCCAATTCTCAGAAACTCCAGTTGTTCTTCATTTGTTCTTTTTACCTTATTCATTGTTCACGAATTTTTCACTCAGACTTAAAAATATGACTAAAACACATTTCCACCTTTAATAATATTTGTTTCAAACTTATTCTTCAACTGGTTTATCATCTTCTTCATTGCTTAGTTTTTGGTTGTCCTTTTTCTCATTTCTTTTCCTTCTCGCTTTATCCACAACTTCCCTACACCTAATACAATATCTATATATGCGACCAGTGCTTCTAACTCCAAAGTCATTAACCTTTTTCCAAGACAAGCACCTAGTACATTGATAATCGTATTTACATTCTTCCAATTCCTTTTCAGGTATTCTAGTATTTATTCTCCAAAGATAATCGCGCGAATCCATGATAATATATAATACTAATAATTCTTTATACAGTTTACCAGTAAAACCCATAATTACCAATACCAACTCAAACCAAACAGCCAAAGCACATAACCAAATCAAGAAAATTATAATAATTCAATCTTTAAAAACGATAAATATATTACAATTATAACATATAATATTTTACATGTTATTATTATAGTATGATTAAACCTGTTTTTAGTGTTTCCAGTCTCCTATGTTGTTCCAAGAACTGCTCAAAATGTTTCTGATATTATACCAGATTAAGTTAACGTCATAATCTTTCATTGGTGCTCTTTGTTGTATTAAATAACGCAACACTGATACCAAAGTATAATAATTACAATGCATTGTTGTCATTCCTCCTCTTTCATTAATACTATTACCATTACGTTTAACGAGTTCTTCTTTCATTATGTTTTCGTAAATCTCTTTTATCCATTGATGATTTTGTTCTCCATACTCAGCGAACATATCTGGATATATATCTTTCATTGTTTTATCGTTTTTAATTATTTCAATGACTTGTTTATACGATGGATAGGGATTATCCTTAATGAAACTCAATATTATCTTTCTATCCTGTTCCAGCTCTTTTTCTGTCACTCCTAGCATTGGCATTTTCCTCTTATTATATTAAGTATTTATTCCTTTAAGTCATTTTACATTATAATTATAACATATAAGGGTATAAATGTTATAATCATAGTATGGTGATAATTTAAGTTTGGGATAATAATTTAATTGATGATGAGTTGAGGCGTAGGCGTGATGGGACCAATCCCACAAACTTGGGACCCGAATCCCCGAAAGTTGGGACTCCAATCCCCTAAACTTGGGACCCGAATCCCCGAAAGTTGGGACTCCAATCCCCTAAACTTGGGACCCGAATCCCCGAATCCCACGAATTTGGGACTCGAATCCCCAATCCCACGCATTTGGGACTCGAATCCCCTATTTTTGGGACTGGTGTCTTGTTTCTTTAATCCGTCAAACTCACTAAGATTTCACAAATTAATTCGCTAGGTATTTTGTATAGGTCTTCCTGCTTATGTATTGTTGGATTGTCTCCCCAATTTTCCTTGGTTCCCGATGGAAGCCGTTCTGCAGTTTCAATATGTTTATTATTCCTGATGTTGCCACAATCCTTTTTACATAATTCTCTAGGTTTCCAAGTTGTAATGTTATTCCATAGCCTAGTCCTCTTTCTATAATTAAATCCATATTTACAATAATCAACATCTTTAAAATCAAACTCATCCATAAACTCCTGATGTTTTAATAATCCAGTTTGTGGATTTTCGATTACAAAATATTTAGGATTGAAATATTTGATAATCTCAATAGTTTTTAAGACAATACTATTTGCATATTCGATATTCCTAATTCCCCTAGTTTTTGCTATGCTGTATTCAGTGCATGGGGGACTACTCCAAATAAAATCAAAATGGTTTCTGTCAAACTGTTTGTAATCCCACTCCAAAATATCAGTGTTGATATCAGCATTTTTCAAGTCTAATGATATTACATTAAATCCAAGCGACTTTGCTATGGTTCCGACGCTTTTTGTTCCGCTAAATAATTCTAATAAATTCATTTATTAGAATTATTTAGATTATTAATTATTCAAATAATACATATACTCCATCATCATTTTTTGAAATTTTATAATAGTCTAATGTTTGTTGCTTTGGTTGCTTGATTTTTCCTGTATTCAACATATCACAGTATTTCTTTTGCTTTGTCGGGTAGTCGCCCGATGGTCTTCCTATAGATTTTGCTTGAAATATCTTTTCGATTTTTTCTTTATCTTCATTGCGTTCAACTGGTTTCATTTTGTCATCAATGGATTTAATCATATCATTTAAGGTTTTAATATTTTTACCAATTAATGTTATCTTCTTCATTAAATCATTAATAGTGTAATTCTCATTTTCAGACATTACTATATATTTATTTAGATAATTATTTATTTAATTATACGTTTTATTATATAATTTACCTGAATAATTTAATGTTATATATGTAAATAAATTATATTCTAAGAGTCTTTCACCAATTTTATTTTTCAATTGTATTAAACCTTCATCGTTACCTGTAATTTCAAAAAACTTCAACATTTTATCAAATTTATCTGGTTTAGTTATACCTTTCATAAAATATTTATTGTTAAATTTAGCATCTAACCAATAAAAATATTCTATACTCAATTGCCTAGCAAAGTTTTTATCACCATCGAATATATCATTAATTTCTTCATCGTCAAAAGTTATAATTCTATGGTCTTGTCCATTCATAGTTGGCATTATGATTATATAAATAATTAGATATTTATTTAAATATTTATTTATTTATATTTATAAAGTGCAATTATGTTAAATCTACTCTTTAAATACTAATTTTTCATGATTTGTTTAACAGTTTCCTGAGTTTCGTTTTCATTATTATCGGTTGGTGTTGCTTGCCTACCAAATTTAAAAGTTATACTATGGACATCAGTTTCTAAGTTGATACTGTCTTTAGTTTTATCAATACTCATTTTCTTATCATTTTTACTTATTTTGAAACTTGTTGGAATACATGAACATTTACATGTTTTATTATTTTTTATTTCTAATTCATTTTTAAGTTCTAACATCTTTTTGCACATAGGACAAGCAATCTCAAATACTGATGTTTCTTTAACAATTTCTCCGCTATCTTCTGTTGAAGAAACACTTAAACCTGTCTTATTCTTTTTGTTTTTCTTTTTTGGCATTTATATTAGCATTTATATTTTTAATATATTGTATCAAAAACTTAATTAATTCTAAAATAAAATAACATATTTTTTTACATCTATTATCAGTTATTAGTACTTGTTCTATATTCTCCATTTCATCTATTATATTAATATAATCTGAATAACTCCTTTTCATATTAAATAATAAGATAAATTATTTTTAATTTCTGTCTTTCTTTTCTTGTAAAGTTTTTTCATTGTATCGTCCTTATTCCATCTATATCCCACAAATTTCTGATGATGTTTTGAATTTAGATGTTTAAATAAATATTTGTCATCATAAGTTTTACAACAATTGCAATGGATAACAGTCATATAATAATAAGATAAAATAATTATTTAAATTATTTAATCTTATTATTTTCATGCATGATAGAATATTCGGAGGGCACAGCACTTGGGGTTTTCATTGCACGCGAGAGAGATACAAACTAATTAGCTTCAATGCTTACTGATTGAAGCAATGGAAACCTGTTCCATTATGTTATTCACCGCCACTCATAACATAATGATGTTCCATTAATATTAAATAGAATATTTATTTAAATTATTTTCTTTAGCTTTAGTAAGTTTTAGTGCAGTTAGCATATCAACATCTAGAATATTATTATTAATAACTTCTTGTACACTATTTATCATTTCATCTGTATATATATTAGAATAATCTTTCATAAAATTTACTAACTTTCTAAAATTAAAATCTAGGTTATTGTCATTTTCAATTGCGGACTTGGATACTACGATATTATAATTTTTAATTCCAGATAAAAAGTATAACATCGTATCATAATATATTTGTACAGTATCTGGAACTAAGACATCACCAAATTTATATATCCTCCGAATACTAGCCACTTCACTTAAATTAATAGATTCTATAGCCATTATGATATAATTATATTATATATTTTTTTTATTTATAAGTATTTATAATATTATTTTTATTATGCCTGATGTAAAACCAATTGATGAAATCAAATATGACTTTAAGCAAAGTAAGCATGAGGTCGTCCCTAAATTGCCAATGAGAGCTATGATTGTCGGTCCATCTGGAAGTGGAAAATCAACTTTACTTGTATCAATGATACTTGATATTTATAGAGGAGCATTTGAAAGAATTTTTATCTGGTCTCCATCTGTAAATTTAGATAGTATTTGGTTGCCTGTTAAAAAATACATTAAAGAAGGTTTGAAAGTAGATAATGATAAAGAACCGTGTTGGTGGGATGAGTTCAATGTTGAAGATTTAGAAAGAGTTATAGAAACTCAAAATAAAATAATTGAATACCAGAAAAAACAAGGAACGAAGAAATTATTTAATATTTTGGTAATTTTGGATGATGTATCTGATAATCCAGCAATAACAAGAAATAACAAATTGTTAAATTCTT